CAGAGACAAAGGGAAATGAGCGGCAAAGTGCATATTATGCAGGTGCACGCAATGCCGTCAAGACATAATCTCTAAACAGTATGGACAAAGAAAGATACCAATCTCCATCCCGCGAATCAATTTTTCTTGCTCCTCGTGTTTCCCCTTACAACGGAGAGAGTAGTCCACTAAATAATGTAAGTGTCGGGAATAATGTATGCCAGCCGCGAAAGAAATGCTGGAATAGGTTGGGAGAGTACGGAAAGCTCCTCGAGTAACGCAAGTAGTGCATTAACATTGTACAAGCTCATTTATGTACGTAAATTTATATTTATGTACCGCCTAGGACTGTCCTATGAAGAAACTCTACATTTGGACTAGAGCAATTCATTTTAAAATTGTGAGAATGTCAAGGCAGTGAAATATCCTAAATTAATTAAATTAATTAAGAGATCAATTCAATTTTGTAGACAATTAATTCAACCCACTAGGACAAAACGGATGGCTTTCATGAAATGACGTATGACTAAAAGTCAACGTTAGGAAAACAATAAAATTTCAGATTTTTCTGAAAATTTAATGAAATTTTAAATTTTTCGCAGCAGGAGGATGAGAATTCTTCAACTTAATTGAATTTTGCTGAGCCGTATTAATTATTATGGAACAATTGAACTAAAGTTTACAGTTTCTATTGATTTTTCCATAAAATTCTCAATTTTCAATCTCAGCACTCCTTCAAATTTCAGTCCGCAATGCTCATTTTTTTCAATTAGCAAAACGCATTACTTTCATCAAATGAGGTATGGCTAAAATGCAATGTTAGGAAGAAAACGAAATTCGGATTTCACTGGAAATCTAATGAAATTCCAATTTTTTAAAATAATAATAATAATCTTTATTTCCATTGTATAGTTTGACACTTTTGTATAGCAAATGAAATTCCGAATATTTACTACAGGAAAACGAGAATTCTTTAACTTAACTTAATTTTCCTGAATTCTATTAAATTATCATGGAACAATTTTCAATTCCCAGTGATTTTTCCATAGAATTTTGAATTTGCAAAATCAAAACCATGAAATTTCAGCCAAAAATGGTAATTTTTTTTTTCAATGAATAAAACCCTAAAACAGAGAAACTTGAGAAATGAATTTCATTTAAATAAGTGATCACTTCAATTTTATCAGAAATTAATACACACCACTGAGGCAAAATGGATTGGCTTATTCAAACGCAGAATAATTGAAGGGATTGACGTAATTGCCGTATGGAAATCAATATTCATGACATGTACAAAAAAAAAGTTTTCCAAAAAAATTTGCGTATAAAATTTGCACACGCTCACTGAAGATGTAACTTGGTTGAATATTGAGTGAGCCGTTGACTCCCCAGGCCAGTGCATTTATTATAAACCCAGTTTCCATCCCCCCCAAAAAACAAGCTCCGCACAAGAGGCGTCCTCGCATTTATATTCCAAACACCCGGTGCAACCCTGGAAAAGTCACCGTGCGCGAACTTCCGTCGGAGTGACTAGCGGTTGGTCGAGCACATTTTCCACAGTGTCCCAGAGACGAACTATTCTCGTGGTACTACTTGCCTCGTCCAAAGAAATATATACCACGTGGGTCACTTCCTCCACGTTTTCCCGGGGAACGCACTCAACGATGCATGAAATCCCCGGGGAATGGAATCGTTGATCTTTCTTTGAAAAAATTTCTATAAATAGATAAATACGTGATTTGATATTTACGTTCGACTGTATTTGCTCCAAAACGGATGAAAACATTGACGATTTAGGATTTTTAAAAACATTTTTGTGCACTGTTAGAAAAACAAGTGGAAAATTGGTTTCATCACAACATAGTCAATAGATTTTTGCTAGTTAATTTGTAATTTGCTTCCGAATGCAGTTTCGATGAGGATGTATTTTAAATTAAATTCAACATTGCTCCAACGGTGGCAACCAATATTTTCCCAACATTGACAGCCAACATTGGCCCAACATTGCCCCAACACTGGCAACCAACATTTCTCCTACGTTGACAGCCAATATTGCCCCTACGTCGGTATCCAACATTGCCCCAACATTGATAGCCAGCATTGCCTTAACGTTGGTAGTCAACATTGTCCCAACGTTGATATTCCGTATAGCCCCAACGTCATTCATGAAAATATTAACTTGAATTTCCCGATTTCTATAGATTTGTTCATTAGATTTTGAATGTTTATTACGTCATCAAATGGAATTTTTGAAGAGAAGATGTAATGGGATCAGTATTCCACTGAAATTTCAAAGATTTTTTCCATAAAATTTGAAATTTCAGTTACGAAAATCCTCAAAATTTTAGCGGTACCAATGTGATAAACATTTCCACGAATTTTGTCGGAAATTTCAACTAAATTTTTTCAACATTATGTACCTCGACGTATACTTGAAACGTCATTAATTTCCCCCTCTTTTCATTCGTACAGTCATGCCGCCGAGCGGCTCTTGAAAGTGACACCACATACAGGTCTCCCATTCTATCTTGTTTGTCTTCTCAATTCTGGAGCCTCGGCGGTAATTGAAACGAGCCACTGCGGATATTGCAATTAAGTATAATCAGACGGCGCCTCCGAGCCGACACCGTCATCATCATTATTATTGCACCAAATTTGTCTTAATCCTGTCACTTTCATGGACAGGAGTGCACAGAATTTGTCGGCGGAAATTCAGTGATACAGCATTTTAAATGTTTAACCTATTGTTTACAATGTATCTAATATTTAAATAAATTAATGGGATTAATTTATTCAAATTAATGGTTAGGGAAAGAAGATGTGGAAGTGTTAACATATATTGATTAAACACTGTTGCAAATTCTAGGAATTTAATGGGACTTTTGTAAATTTCGAATTTTTATTTTCATTTTACGGAATTACGTCATTGAAAATTATAAATTTTATGTAAAAATCAACGATTTCATGAAAATTAATAAAAAAATTGCAGGCGCCTGTGTCTTTGATACAGCTGTAATTGTACGTGGATACTCATGATCTTTCCTTCTTTCTCGAATTTCATAGAAACTCCTTGTATTCCTTCGAATTTTCTGGAAACTTTTTGAATTTTTCCAAAATTTCAAAAAACTTCTCAAATTACCTCGAAATGTCTAGAATTTTCCTGAATTCCGATAGATGGGGTTGCACATAAGGACCGTTTCCTAAAATGACCCCCCATATTGAAACCATAGACCTATCCACGTCAAAATTAACAAAATTCATTGAAATTAAGAAAAAAACCAATTGATAAAAATTACGCCCAAAAATTTTCAAAACTCAGAGATTTTTCGCTCCAAATGTGACCTAAAGAGAAAGTATCGAATACCTTGAATAATTTTGATCACGAAATATTTAAAATCTTGGTGAATGGTTCCACAACGATAAAGTATTAAGTGAGCAAACTATATGAGCCTCGATCTTCCCCCATCAACGCAATATTCCAATTGATTGAAAATTCCGGGAGAGTGGGGACTGAATATTCATGTTTTCATTGAGAATTCAAGTAAATTGGGAAATCCTCGTCTTCCTGAATTTGAATTTTCAGTGAAATCCGAAATTTCTTGATTTTTTTCACCGACTTGCAAGTTTTCAATCGCAAAACTCCTCACAATTAAGGAAAAAACGATCAAGTTATAAAAATTTCACCCAAAAATTTTAAAAGCTCAGAGATTCTTCGCTCCAAATGTCAGCGAAGGAGAATGTATGGAATACCTTGTAGTATTTTTATCACGAAACGTTTAAAATCTCAACTAATGGTTCCACAGCGATAAAGTGTTAATTGAGCAAAGTATATGAGCGTCGACCTTACTTCTGCAACGCGATATTCTATCAAGTACGGTGAGACTGCGCGCAAGGTAGCTCCTTGACACTTGAATTTATGATGGTCTCCACGCCCGGAAGTCACTCCCTTCACCTTTTGGCCCATAGTAAAATCTACCCTAGTGGGTTTTGATTTACAGGGAGTGTCCTCACTGCACTTGCGCCATATAACAAAAATTAACGGTCATACTCTCACTCGTTACGACGTCGAGATGCCGCAAATCGTTATCTCATCATCATTACCGAACGGGCTCTTGTTATCATAATTACGAATTCTTAATTATTCATTTTTGGGAGTGACATGAACGGCAGTAGAATCCTCAATTAATCATTGTCCACTTGAAAAATTATCAACTACATTGAAGAATTTATAACTTCACATCACTGCATTATCCCTTTGTCCTCACATTTACATCATTTCCAATTCACTGACCAATTAGCGATAATTCGGAATGATATTGTGGAGTGGAACGATTCATCTACCATGATGAATTTATCAGCTTGTATTCGAAATTTCATATTCCATGGAATGCCTTTGTGTTATCATCAATCGCATTTTTTAATGATTAATTGGGCTATCGAATTGTCTTTGAGTGAACCAAAATTCCAACAGCCTCGATATTTCGATGACAATGTACTCCCGAAAGCTGGGACACTTGCTCACACTAATTAGTGAAAATTGTTATGACTATATGACATTCAATTGATTGCTATATACCAATGTTCAACATTTCGATCGGATTTCGGGCTTGAAATCAAATAATGAATTTAAGAAATATATTATAATTTTTCGTAAATAATAATGAAATTGTTTCTTTAATTCTTGAATAATGTTGAAAATTGACTAAGGAAATATTCGACTTTGAATATTGATTAGTTTTCAATAAATATCTCGGAATCCAAGGCAAATAGCAAATTTTTTGTAATAATCTTTTTTGTAGAGTGAATTAAGATTTACCAAAAAAGCATATTATGAAAATTTCACTGCCTCCCTTAGATTCGGAGATATTCTTCGAAAACTCAGCTAAGACCTAAGTTGACTTGAACCATTTTACCGTTGCGCTACTGACTTATAATTTCCGTCAAATAATAATGAACATATATATATTTTTAAATATTTTTCATAACTCCACATTATAAAACCCTTAAATCATCAATTTCAGCTCCACCCCAAAAAGTAGAAGTGAATGGTCACCCGAATCACGGAAAAATCGAGCTGAACGTCGGTGAATCGAGGAGTCTGGAGTGCACGGTCAGTTTCGCAAAGCCAGCCGCTACAATAGTGTGGTACCGTGGAAATTTTCCGATCAAAGGTGGCGATACGAGCGTCACCCCAATCTCCATTGAAGACGGTGAGTTCCAATGTTCAATATGTAATAAAAGTAGAAAACAAAGGGGTAAAGGCGTCAAAAGGGCTGGAATGCAGACGCAAAGCAAAAAAATAGAAATAGCTTTGTGAGGGCGATAAAAAAATACAGCACAGTCAGCCAAGATTGCCACCGCCAACGACCAGATGAGATTGGAGTTATATTAAACGACGCGTGGTGGCACAAACTGCGAGTCAGGCTGAAGGCTGACCATTGATACGGATTTTCCCTTTTATTCTTGACGTCTGGTTATTACTATTTAATACCGCGTTTCGTTCATCGATATTACGTTCGATTGATGCTCAATAGAGACTTTAAATGCTGAAATTCATCAAAGGAATCAAAACAGACGGCTTTTCATTCTCAAATTCATTGTTTGAGATTATTGTAGATTATTGTAGCCTAAAGATAATTTTTTCAAAAATCAAACACAAAGAAATATTTAGAAAAAACCAATGAGGAAAAAAATCTGTTAAATCTGATGCGATAAAAAATTACATTTTATCTCATCTTATTTTATTTGCGATCATTCTTATTGTATATTATTCTTCTTAAAGATAATTTTGAAAAGAAAATGAAGACATATTTTGGAAACAAACTTTAAAATGGAGACAAATCTGTTAGATCTGATAAGATGAAATAAAAGATAATGTTTCGTCTCATCTTTTCATCTGAGAATGAGATAAAATACTATTGTTCAACACAAAGAAATATCTGCAAAAAAACACTCGAAAAAAATTTAGTGTATCTGATGGGATAAGATAACAAATATCTTATCTTATCGCATCTTATCTTATTTTAGATTATTCGTATTATCAATTATTCTTGCTTAAAGATAATTTTGAAAAAAGACATATTCTGAAAAAAAAACCATTGAAAAATGGAGAAAAATCTGTTAGATCTGGTGAGATAAAGTAAAAGATGATATTTTATCTCACCTCATCTAGTTTTATCTGAAAATGAGATAAGACCTACCTTTCAAAGTCGTTTTTTTCACAATTTTAGACTAGTTTGAGCTACAATATTTTAAGATGAAGCTTGGTTCATGTCCTTTTATCTTATCTTATTTCCCACATTCTATTCACCAAGCTTATAGGGTCGTATGAAGGTCCCAGAATATATTTTAGAAGTAAAAATATTGTGAGTCGAGAATAACCCACAGCTTCAGCAGATCTATGAAGAAATATGTCTCCACAAAAGGTCCCAATAAAACTTGCCGCGGTAGGAATCGACCATTTTCATGCTCAAACGTAACAAAAGTGAAAAAAAAAAGAATAAACAACGAGTAAAGTTCAAAGTGGAGATCTTCCCGTCCATATCCAAACTTGTCGATGCACCCCAACGAGTGATTTCCAGAGCGTATCTCCAGCTATCGATTTATGTCACTACGCTATTCCTTCCTGCAGCATCATCCTCAATAACTCGGCCCCCAACCAGTTTCCCTGTCAGTGGCTAGATCCTGAGTGAGTAAGAAAGTGAGTGGGTATGAAAGGACAAAGTCAGAAGAACGTATTCCAAAACTTCCGCCTCAACAACGAAAAATACGTATTCTGGAAAAGTCATTTTCTTTCTCTCGACTTCTGCCACAGCCTCGGCATCAAAAAACCAAACGACTTTTTCACACTCGGACGTTTTTGGACTGAAATCCTTTTTCCATTTGCGAAACAATGTGAAAATACTGGGTGCGAAAGAATATTTATAAAATATAACGCGAGGATTTACTGAAATCCCCTTTATACCTGAACTCTTCCAATCTCTGCATATGACTCGCTGGCATTGTTCCAGACTTCAGAGTCAACCATTTTTTTTTTCGTTTATATTCTTCTATCAAATATTTTTTTTATTCCTTCAACTTTGTATTGGCATTTATCCCTGTTTCCTCCCGATTCTGCAACTCCAGCGAAATCTGTAAGAATATGAAAATTAAAACGGGGGTTTTGACGGTTGCAAGGAGTGGTATTGGCCAAAAATGACTTCTCTACATCAGTAGTTCCTGAAGTATTCAAAAACGGGTGGTTATCCATAATTGATCATTCAATTTAATTTTTTTTTGTTCTGTTAACTTAATCTACACTGATAGAAAGGATTAGTTATTATTAACCAATGGATTTAGTTGGAGGCTAGAGTCTATTTGGTTTCACCAAATGTTTATTCGTTAATAGTTAACAAATACTATAATAAATATATTTGAGGAGCCTTATTTGACTCGACTTTCACCTTTCAACTGAACCATTCGTTAACTATTAACGAATATTTATTTGGTCACATTCAACTCTGCCTTTCGTTAATAGTCGACGAATCTCCGGAATCTCTGGAATAAACGAATCATTCCATCAGTGTAAATATTGACATTTCTTACAATCAATGATTTCAGATATTTAGTCTACTATTTATGATGAATTTGTGTAGTATTTTAAGGATTTTTAACTCGGTTGTTTTTAATAAGGGGTGATTGCGTTCATAAGTGAAACTTAAAATTGTCTTAATTCTCTAATGAGTGTCCTTTCATTGCTCAGGCTGAGACAGTGCCACAGAATGTGGTCAGTTCGATTTCCTGTTGAATATAGATAAAGAAATACCAAAACTAGAAGAAGCCAACTTTAGAGTCAACGTTTTTTTCATCTAAAAATTTTTATCAGATATTTTTTTACTTCTTGAACTTTGTGCTGGCATTTATACCTAGCTCCGGTGAAGTCTGTAAGAATATGAAAATAGAAAACGGGGTTTTGATGGTTGTAAGCAGTGGTATTGAACAAAAAATGATTTCTTCGGCGCCAATAGTTCCTGGAATATTCCGAAACGGATGGTAATCAATCATTTCATGTCGAATATAGATGAAGAAATACCAAAGCCAGGAGAACCCAAGCGGAAGCTCCAGAAATACGACACACGAAGTTCGATGACAATTGCGCCTACAGTCGATGATGATGGCATGGATTATGCATGCGAGGCGAGACATCCTGCCATTCCCATTGATAGACCAATGCGAGCAACTGTAAAACTCTCAGTATTTTGTAAGTTTTGTTGCAATTAACAAAGTACCAAGGGGATGATTACTTATGAAATCTGGAAATTTTTTCAATTGTTTTGTATTTGATGAGATCTTACACAAAAACAATCGTGTGGAAATTGAATGTAATCAATTCCTCATGTACAATGTTAACAAAATTTGGCTGAAATTTCTGATATACTTTCTGGAAATTTTTATCACATTTTAGTTCTCATGAACATCAATATGAATTATGAAAATTCAGCGAAATATATTTTTGAATTTTCAATGAATTGACAATTCGGCGTAATTTGATACTGAATATTCATGATTTACTAAAAATTCAAGTGNGCCTTTCGTTAATAGTCGACGAATCTCCGGAATCTCTGGAATAAACGAATCATTCCATCAGTGTAAATATTGACATTTCTTACAATCAATGATTTCAGATATTTAGTCTACTATTTATGATGAATTTGTGTAGTATTTTAAGGATTTTTAACTCGGTTGTTTTTAATAAGGGGTGATTGCGTTCATAAGTGAAACTTAAAATTGTCTTAATTCTCTAATGAGTGTCCTTTCATTGCTCAGGCTGAGACAGTGCCACAGAATGTGGTCAGTTCGATTTCCTGTTGAATATAGATAAAGAAATACCAAAACTAGAAGAAGCCAACTTTAGAGTCAACGTTTTTTTCATCTAAAAATTTTTATCAGATATTTTTTTACTTCTTGAACTTTGTGCTGGCATTTATACCTAGCTCCGGTGAAGTCTGTAAGAATATGAAAATAGAAAACGGGGTTTTGATGGTTGTAAGCAGTGGTATTGAACAAAAAATGATTTCTTCGGCGCCAATAGTTCCTGGAATATTCCGAAACGGATGGTAATCAATCATTTCATGTCGAATATAGATGAAGAAATACCAAAGCCAGGAGAACCCAAGCGGAAGCTCCAGAAATACGACACACGAAGTTCGATGACAATTGCGCCTACAGTCGATGATGATGGCATGGATTATGCATGCGAGGCGAGACATCCTGCCATTCCCATTGATAGACCAATGCGAGCAACTGTAAAACTCTCAGTATTTTGTAAGTTTTGTTGCAATTAACAAAGTACCAAGGGGATGATTACTTATGAAATCTGGAAATTTTTTCAATTGTTTTGTATTTGATGAGATCTTACACAAAAACAATCGTGTGGAAATTGAATGTAATCAATTCCTCATGTACAATGTTAACAAAATTTGGCTGAAATTTCTGATATACTTTCTGGAAATTTTTATCACATTTTAGTTCTCATGAACATCAATATGAATTATGAAAATTCAGCGAAATATATTTTTGAATTTTCAATGAATTGACAATTCGGCGTAATTTGATACTGAATATTCATGATTTACTAAAAATTCAAGTGAATTGAGAAATTCTCGTCTTCATGTTGCTCAAAAATTAGGAATTTCATTGAAATTTCAGTAAAATGTGAATTTTTGTGATTCCTTTTCCAGCAATGTAACAAATAACTAATAAATTATAATAAAAAATGGAAATTGCATGAGGAAAAGGACCTTGCATCCGATTTAAGGGGAAAAAGTCAATGGAATTTCTCTGAAAATTCAAGTAAAATTCTATTTTTTTAACGGCAGGAAGACAGAAATTCGACAATTTACATACATTTTCTAGTGAAAATAAATATTCACTGCCAAATTCCTTTGATTTTTCCGGCAATTCCTTTAAAATTCTTGGAATTTCAGAAATTTTTAAACGAATTCCCTGAAAATTCAGAGGAATCTGGAATTCAAGGCGAGATTCTTCTGAATTACCTTTATTTGTCATTAATTTACTTGGAATAATAAAACTGAACTCTACAGTTTCCACTGATGTCTCCATGAAATTATGAATTTCAATGACAAAAAATTCCTTGAAATTTTAGTGGAAAGTTATTTGTTAGAATTTTCCAAGACCCTTATCGGAAATTTCAGTGGAAAATTTTTAAAACTGTACCCAAACTTTTCACATCCATAAGGAAAGCAGAAAAAAAATTTCTAGAATCTTTCATTAGACATTCCGGGTACACTCCGCTCCGTATTCTCTCCACCTCCCGCGCCCTAAAAAACTAAAGAAAACTATTCATCCAGATCCACCGGGTGCTCCGTATATCGAGGGCTACAACGAGGGTGACGCGATACGTCGTGGTCAGAAGGTGGAGCTTGTATGCAGATCACGTGGTGGTAATCCACCGGCTCAAGTGGTCTGGTTCAGGAATGATGAGGTCAAGAGTAGTGTTTATCGTACCTACAATAGCCTCTCCGAGAATGTCCTCTCATTTGAGGCTCAGTCAGAGGATGACAAGGCACGATACCGTTGTGAGGTATCAAATGTCATGAGTGTCACACCAATGAAAGTTCACGTTGATTTAACAGTCCTCTGTAAGTGCCCCCCTTCCCCCCTCCCAAAGAGGCAGGTTTACCATTCCCGTAATACGTTTTGTGTTAACTAAATACCGATGTTTGTACTCAACAGTCCGTCCAGCTGCTGTGACTATTACGGGACCCACTGAGGCTAAGGCTAATGAGAGAGTAACTATTACGTGCATAACAGACAACTCTAATCCACCAGCAGATATTAAGTGGACTGTTGGTGGAATGGAATTCAATAGTACCAACTCTAACACTATTCTAGCGCAGAGGGGTGGATGGATCACCGCGTCCAATATCACGTTCAATATCAATCAGGATGCTAGGAGTGTTGTTGTTATTTGTAGTGCTATGAATTCAAGACTTGCTGAGTATACTATGAAGACTCATACAATTAATGTCATTTGTGAGTATTAAAGTGCGTTGTTATTAATTACCATTTGATTCCAAATGCTATTGGATTTTTATTGACCTTTTATTGATGAATTTTGCATCTTTACTGGTTTTTTTTTTGTATTTTAGATTTTATTTTCATTTATTATGTCCAATGGAAACTACTTTATAGAAAAAATCAGTAGAATTTCATCTTCCGGTGCAACTTTTTCTATGGGGATTCTACACGCATTCTCTGAGTTGTTTTCACTGTATTCTTATATTTGTTCTCTCTTTATAAGGGATATCCAAGTATCTTTTACAGTTTGCTACTGATCACATTTTCAATCATCAAATTTATCAGTTACATTGCGTCAGGACAATTTCGTCATTCAAATTACATTTTGCACAGAATTATTATTTTTTCAAACATTCGTTGTTTGTAAATAAATAATTGAGATTGTTTAAAATTTCGGAAACCTTATTTTCTTAGGCATTAACTCGATTTTTAGTAAAATTCTTAATATGAATAAATTTGTTGCGATTCCGAACAAATGAATTTTATGGTGGAACTGTTCAATACAATTCTAATAGAACTCCTATAGAATGCTTATCCATTTCCAATGGAACTTCAACAAAATTTCATGCAGAAAAGCGGTCTTTCGTTCAACAAATCCTGAACTTGACACGTTTTGAATGTTTTTAATTAAAAAACTCGAGTTGTTTCAATTTCAAAAACATTGAGAACTCGAAATAAATAGGGTTTTGCCGAGGCTACAATGCTATCAAAGGCACACGAACCTCTTTTTCTCCCTGCAATTGAATTATCATTAAAATGAACCTTTAAGATCCACCCGCAAGACTGACTATAAGTGGCTACGAGGAGAATCATCAGATAGATGCTGGTGCAGTACTGAAACTCCTTTGCACAGCAACAGCTGGTAATCCCCTGGCCACTGTAACTTGGTATAAAAACGACAAAGAGGTAAGTCCCATCAATCATCAGTTCCCCTTCCCAAAACGCATTCAAAATACTCAACATTTTTCATCAGATAACGGGCACCATAAGGGAACGAGATCACGCAGTATCAAACGAACTCGAGATTCTCGTTAATGCATCAGACAATAATGCACACATGAGATGTGACGCTGTTAACTCAGCAACAATAATTCCAATGAGTAAAACAATTATTCTGAAGGTGAATTTTCCACCTGCTCAAGTGAAAATAACACGTGAACCCAAGGAATTTCGAGCTGGTGATACTGGTAGATTGATATGTGAATCAAGTAGTAGTAATCCAGCAGCTGAAATGTCATGGTGGAAGGCTGGAATTGCAGTTGAGGGTACAAAAAATACATCGAGAATTGGTTTACACGGAGGCTACGTATCCACTGTTGAATTACAGCTCCAATTGACTGATAGTATGAACGGTGAGGTTTACACGTGCGAGGCGAGGAATTCTAAGATGCAGAGATCAACTCACGACGCAACGACACTCAATATTCTGTGTAGGTTTCATTGATTAAATGAAACTCAAGAGATGAATTCTCAACTGAAGTCATGAATTCTTAAGGGAAGACTACTATGAGTTTTGAAAGTCGTGGGTTATTGAAGTGAGATTTCTCATACATTGAAGATCGATTATATATATCTAAAAACGAATTAGATATTTAGTGTATAATTAGTGCAAAAAAATCAATTGTTTATAGTTTGTTTGCCTCACAGATGCTTAAAATATTAAGAATAGTCCAAGGCCTCCAATTTTTGGGCTACAGAGATTTTTTTTTCAAACTTTTGGAAAAAATATGTTCGAGAACAATTACGAATTAGTTTTTTAAAATTCAGCTCCTACGCAGCTAATTTCGTTGTTTTTCCATACTAGGAAAGACGCGCGCTTTGCGCACGCTAGTTAGGTTGCGTGAAATAATGCGTTCATTCAATAATATTTATGTCATTCCGCCCGTAAGGCAGCACTTCATGGACGCTACGCGATAACTGATAAAGAAGGTGAATTTTAGAGTCGTACGTCACGTTGAAAACGAAAATAATCTTTGATAACTCGATGGAAATTGAATATGAATATTATATATATTGTATATGAATATTCTGGCTTATTTTCACTTTAATATATAGAAAAACCCACAAGAAAACGTCAATTTAGAAAAAAATATGAAAATTCGATTTTTCATTGAAAACTCCCATTCTCAATTAAAATTGGCCATGTTAAAATGATTCAGCGATCAATTTCAAGGTAATCTAATATTTTTTCACCCGGACATCAGATATATCCACATATTTGAACAGAAACTTAGTAAATCTCATCATTAAGAGGAAAAACAAGGAATTTTTCAAAACGTTTCTTGCTAAAATCGCTATATTAACGCTTATAACAATTGATCTAGTGGATGGAATACATAATATCGGTGAGACCTTCAAATTGACATATGATATATCCCCGCTGGTTAAGTCTAAACCCTCGATAAATGGCAAAAACTATCATTTTTGGGGTGTGACGTGGACGTGGAAAATGGACACAATCTGCTATAACTTGATGAAAATTACATTGAATCGGCATTACCATGCACCATTTCGAAGAATAGTAATGCGCTTCAAATAGTCCACTTAGGAACATCGAACGATCCCGCCAGAATTAATTTTTCAAGTTGAACATGAAATTGCAATTTTCACCTAAAACTCTCATAAATCAATGAAAACTTGTCAGAATTAGAAAAATCAGGTAACATTTTGAAGCTTATTTAACAAGCTTCCAAATGAGTACTTTATATGTATGGTTCATGGAAAAAGAAGGACTTGAGCCGAGAAACCAAATAAAAAATCATAGAACACGGATTGTTCTATGGGGGCAAAATAGCATTATTCATGTAAAATACTTCAAACAATTTTTCTAAAAGAATCGAGAATATATTTCAAATATTTCAAGGATAATTGTTCTACCTATTTTACATGAATGTCGTAAATTTTTATATTAAATAAAACAAAATTAGCTGTATAGTCGAATTTCAAAAAACTAATTCGTAATTTTCATTATACACATTTTTTCAAAAATTTTGAAAAAAAAACCTCTGTTACTAAAAAATTGGAGGCCTATTTTCACTATTTTAAGCATCTGCGGGACAAACAAACAACAAACAATTAATTTTTTGGTACTAATTATTCGTTTTTAGACATGAATAATCGATTTTCAATGCATGAGAAATCTCACTCTAATAGCCCGCGACTTTTAAAACTTATAGCAGTCTCTCCTTAATTACAATGATGAAATTGATGAAAAATAAAAGAATATTTTTTCTCTTGAGGTGTTTCGCACAGAGAACATAATTACATTCTTCGAATAATTTCACAGACAAACCCATATTTACGTCTATTGATTCGACTGAACTCGTCGGTATGGAGGGTGAACCGTACGTTATATCAGTAGCAGCCAAGGCCAATCCAACGGACATCAATTACTCGTGGACGAGGGATGGACTGCCCTTGAGTCGAGACGGTGCGAGAATTAAAGCTCGCGAGTCGACGTTGAATATGACAAAACTACATAGGAATGATGCTGGAACTTATATTTGTCAAGCTTCTAACAAAGAGGGGACGACGTATTATCAACTCAATATAACAGTTCAATGTAAGCAATTGACAGAATGCGTTTTGTTGATTAATTTTCTTTCACATTCTTCATTCAATTCTTTTTATTCTGTATAGCTTCTTTTATTTGTTCCATGTGAATATTAAATATTTAAATATTCACCTCCTTTAGGCACTTTTCGAATATTTTGGTTGAAATTTCAAAGAATTTTTTGACAGAAAACTGTCAATTTCAGTTCAATTATCCTATGAAAATGAATAAAAATCAGGAAAATTAATCGTAATTTGGTACTGAATATTTGGAGTCCTATAATTTTTTTGCCTAAATCGAATTCAATGTGCCGCTATGCCTAAACTCATTTTTCCTCTGATATTGTAATCAACAATGCGTAAATTTTCAAAAAGAAAGTGCAACTTCTTTGCTAGCATTTATCAATTAAATGTGTGTCTTAATTGTGTCACTGCAGACGCCGCTGAAATAAAACGGACATCAGAATCAGGAATTGTGTATCCTGGCGATAGAGAGGCTAAATTATTCTGTGAATTGGACGGCAGTCCAATTGGTGATGAATACGTAACGTGGTACAAAGTTGGCTCGACAACGGAATTGTCGAGTCGTTATTCAACCTCTTTTATCAACAAAACTTCGTATCTACACATCAGCAATCCAACTGAAGAGGACGTTGGTGAATACAGATGCAACGTTAACAATGGAATTGGAAATGTTACGTCAAAGCCCATCCTCTTTATCACTAATTGTAGGTTCTATGCATATCGGTTTATTTTAGTTGCCACGTCAAGAGGCCAAAGCCAATTAAAGTAGTATAAACATAACTTGAATTTTCAAAATTAAAGTCTGAAATAAATTTTGAACGAAAGTTAATATGAATAGTAACAATCTCGTTGAGTTTGTGTTCCATAATTACTCTAGAAGTGCAAGAATAACACAGAGTCTCATGATGGAATTAAATTTTTCGAGGCCAGGGAAAAGATTGAAATGTAGAAAAAATTTCGAAAAATTAGAAAAAAATTAATAAAAGTTTTATGCATAATATGAAAATTATTGTCAGTGTCAAATTTTCGTCATAAATAATTTATCACAATCATCAAAGTTAATATTCATGGGAAAAATTATCAATGACGACTAATTTTGTGTCGGGCTTCTTGACTATATTTTCACTTGTTACACCCAGCGACTCAACTGGAGTTGATTCATACTACTTTAATAGTGAATGAAGACAATTTTTCGTTATTCATAATTCTATTTTCGCTCCAGTTGAACCCCAGATGACGAATACAGCGATAATGAAGAAAGCCGCTGCTAATACTGGATCTGATGTGAAGCTTTCCTGCAAAGCACGTGGCTCACCGCTACCAAAATTTGTCTGGTACTTCGAGGAGAAAACACTCAACATGACGTCGCGCAGATACGAGATCTCCAGGAAAGAGGTAAACAAGCTGAATGACATGTTCTCCTTAATAACGCAGTTTTGTTCGAATAGGAAACACTGTTACGATTCGATTAATTACCTTTTTTTATTAAATGAAACCCGTGTACACAATACTGTGTATTTACTAAATATTGCCATCGGCAATTAGCTATTCGCATTCAACATTGTTCATTACCCGGAGAAATCCCGGAGAGTTGATAGGTTTTATAATTGGTTCAATTGAGATTTAAATCCAAGTTTTCTCTTTTAAACTCTGCAATATTCTTCAATCGTAGAATTCAAACATATTGCACAGAACTTCTAACTCCATTTCGAGTCTCTAGAAGTGCTTTTAACGGAGTGATACTGAAATACGACTCATTGGGTTTCTCTCAGAATAATTTCTCTATCTCCGAAAATTCGTGTAGACACGAAAGACAGGGCAAATGGTATACCACATGAATCAACGTGCATTTTGCCATCACTAATTAGTTATTCGCATCCAACATTGTTCATTACCCACAGAAATCCAACCCACTTCATATATTTTATAATTGTTTCGATCGAAATTCCAATTCACGTTTCCCCTTTCAAACTCTACAAAATTCTTCAATCATAAATTTCAAACATATTCCGCGTAATTTCTAATTCCATTTCGCACACTCAAAACGCGATTCCATTTTCCAAGTTTCGAGTCTCTGGAAATGCTTTCAATAGAGTTGTCCCTGAATAGACGAAATAATTCGTTATTTGAAATACGACTCATTGGGTTTCTCTGCGAGTGTTTTCCGTTTCTCCGGGAATTCGTGTAGGAGAACAAGAGGGACCTCCCATTACAAATTGCTGGAAAATGTTTCAGGTCTCCAAATTGGAGGTACAATCAGCATTGACGATATACCACGCCAATCGATGTGTATATTGCTCCCAACATTACTCATTACCCACTGAAATCCCACCCATTTGATATATTTTATAATTGTTTTGATCGAAATTCAAATTCAAGATTCCCCTTTCAAACTCTACAAAATTCTTCAATCATAAATTTCAAACATATTCCGCGTAACTTCTAATTCCATTTCGCACACTCAAAACGCGATTCCATTTCCCAAGTTTTGAGTCTCTGGAAATGCTTTCAATAGAGTTGCCCGTGAATAGACGAAATAATTCGTTATTTGAAATACGACTGATTGGATTCCTCTCCGAATGGTTTCCTTTTCTCAGAGAATTCGTGTAGGAGAACAAGGAAAACTTCCCATAACAAATTGCTGAAAAATGTTTCAGATCTCTAAACTGGAGGTACAATCAACATTGACGATATACCACGTGAATCGACGTGTATATTGTATCTAACATTACTGATTACTCACAGAAATCCCATCCATTTGATATATTTTATAATGGTTTCGATCACAATTCAAATTCAAGTTTCGCCTTTCGAATTCGACAACATTCTTCAATCATAATTTTCAAGCATATTTCGCGTAACTTTTAATTCCATTTCGCAAACTCAAACCGCGATTCCATTCCCAAAGTTTCGAGTCTCTGAAAATGCTTTCAATAGAGTTGCCCGTGGATAGACGAAATAATTCGTTATTTGAAATACGACTGATTGGATTCCTCTCCGAATGGTTTCCCTTTCTCAGAGAATTCGTGTAGGAGAACAAGGAAAACCTCCCATAACAAATTGCTGAAAAATGTTTCAGATCTCTAAACTGGAGGTACAATCAACATTGACGATATACCACGTGAATCAACGTGATTACGGTACATACAACTGTAGGTCTGAAAATCGTCTCGGCAAAACGTCAGACTCTGTACACCTTGATGTTACCTCACCCCCGGATCAACCGAGTGATCTTCAAGTTTACAATGTTACGCACGATAGTGTTACGTTAATTTGGAAGAGAGGTTTTGACGGAGGCTTACCAACGTCTCATCGTATCAGATGGAGACAGGCTAATGATTATATCGACAGTTATTATTATCTCGACGTTAAACCTGGTGATTACACAGCAACGATAACAGGCCTCAATTTGGGAACGTACTATGTCTTCAGTATAATGGCGAGGAATTCTAAAGGCGAAAGTCCGTTTCTCCCGGATCTCGTTAAAATTCAGACACTGCGTAAGTATAGAATAATGAAGGAATTCATTGTTTATGTATTCATCGTTCCCCCAACTGTCGATCGTCATCATTCATGTTGTCTTGTTGTCAAATGCTTCAATTACTTCGAATAAACACAAACACAAGCGAATGAGTAAAGAATCGATTGCATGGGTAGTTTAGAAGTTGATTATGCAGTCGATGGAGAGATATTTTATATGAGGGAGAGTATAGACGAAATGGCATGCTGAGAATCATTGTGCTTGAATAGTTTGAGTCAGAATTTAGGTATTGGCCTTGGGATCGAGAAAAGTCTACTTAAATTGGCGGATACGTCACATTGAAAAGCCATGAAATCCTGAAATTTCAATGTGGAGAGAAAAATTGATGAATATTATCCTCTCAAGGATTTTTCCCAGCGATAATGCAATGACTCGAAGGAAAATTGGAAAATTTTGAGCTTTAACTGGAATTATTGCCTCTTTTACGAGAATTTTACTCAAACTATGAAATTTTCATTTCAAGAGTTTATGGAAAAAATTCCAAAAATGTTTGGAAATTTCAAAAGCTGCGAAATTTTTATAACTTGAAGTCCTGACATTATTGGCTTCCGGATGGATGCCGCGTTTGGTTTCAGCATTGCGCCGACGTTTCGCAAACATTGCAGTCTGCATCTTCAGGACTACATCGGAGCTCTACATGAGCTTCGATGTCTGGGGTTTGTCCTTATATGGCTTCCCCTGTGATGGTGAAGGAAGGGGGGGGGGGTCAGCCAATCATATGTTTTTAATTGATCAGCTGGTCAATTAAAAACATACGATTGGCCGACCCCCCTTCCCCCACCATCACAGGGAAAGACATATAATGATGCATAATGATGATATAATGATTTGATGACAACCCCCAGACATCGGAGCTCAGAATCGGAGCTCATAGCCCTGAAGATGCAGACTGCAATATTTGCGAAACATCGGCGCAATGCTGAAACCAAACGCGGCATCCATCCGAATGCCAATAATGTCTTTAATAATGGCCGCGAAAGCCTCAAAACTCGAAGTCATTTTTCAAACTTTTCCGAGAACTTTAGGAAAAAATGTAATAACTCCTGTAAAAATTCTAATATTTTATGTAGGATACAGTATTATTGTGAAGTTATCCCTTGAAATATTCGATTTTTTACTAGGTTTATTTGATTTTATAATCGAAGTGTATTAAAAGTCAGGGATATTTCTTACCATAAATGAGTGAAGTTTGATAACATTCTGGAAATATTATGAATTTTTCACAAAGTCGTTGAAGTTAATAAAAAAAAACTAATAACATTCTTCAAAATTTCAGTAGTTCTAAAATTTTTTAATCTTAAAATCCTTTCTTGAGTTTTGACCACAACCATAGAAAAAAATGTATTAACTTTGGTCAAAATTGGAATCTTCTGGATAGAATTATTGCAAATTGTCATAAAATCTTGGGAATTTATCGAGGAAAACCTATCAAATCGTTTCAAAATTACAAAAGCTTCAAAATTTCGTGATCTTAAAATCCAACATTCCTAATTTTTTTAAAGTTTCAAATTTTTGAACATCGGATTCTTCAATTTTCACGGAATTTCCTCTAAACTAAGCCTCAATTACGCGCCTGTTTCAAAAGTCAAACATGGAGAACCGAAACTGTTGTAAAATTCGACTCGCTTGTACGTATTGAATGGCAAAATTGTAACTCCGTAAATACAAGTTACCTAAATTAAATGTAAACTCAACTAACGGTACCTAGAGGTGCATGAATAACACTATAGGGTGATGGGGTTTATTGGCTTGGGTTACAGGCGAAGCACCACCAACAGAGTTGACCGCCAGCGAGATTAACACCTCCTACACCATCGTCATAATCATCGTTGTTTCCGCCTGTGCTTGTCTACTCATTGCTACGCCCATACTATATGCCACATTAAAGTCCAAAAAGAAGGCCCACCGCTCTGGTAATTATATACATTTATCACGTGTGTTTTTTTGTTTTTTATGAACAATTAGGGCCGAATAATCGTGAGAGACAGCAGGATGTGATCCTGGAAAAGAGTGATATACCAATGAATTATGTCTATACTGTAGCAGCAACGTCAGCCATCTTTTTTATTATTAATCTTTGCATCCTATTATGGTACATTGTACGAAAACGAAATAAAGATCGTAAGTCTATTCAATTAATTATCATAAATTCAAGTATGCACGTGTGAAAAAATTTATATTCTATTTTTTATGAGGATTCTGTTGAAAAATGTGGTTTTTCCCTCCTTTGCGTTTTTAAATAGTTCTTTATTTATCGAGAAATATCTATAGATGTCGATTTTTTTCTATAGCTTATTCTGTTGGGATTTTTTCTATAAGAATTCTTGTGCATGAATTTTCCAAGTTTTTTTCTCTCGGATTTTATCATGAGAAAAAAATAAAAATACGGCGGAAAAAACTTGGAAAATTTATGCCCAAAAATTTCTATATTCAAAATCTATTGAATTTTTTCCATCAAATGCCTATCAACAATATGTCACGGCAAAGTTGTATAGTTTTGACTTTTTTAATAGAATTGTACTTGAAAAAAACGCTAGGTTTTTATATTTAATTTTTTCCAACGCTTTCTCCGATAAATTCGATTGAATGTCTGTACGAATTCTATTGGACAATTCCATTTGTTTTTTGCGCCAATTCTCTTAAAACTTATGCAATTCTCCCGTGCGTTTCCATAATAGTAATTTGTTTATAGAAAAATATCTGTAGGTGTCGATTTTTGCATATAGTTTATACTGCAGTTTTTCTTTAAGAATTCTTAGGTATGAATTTTCTACTTTTTTCTCTAATTTTATTATAAAAATAATTGAAATACAGCAGAAAAAACTTGAAAAATTTAGGCCCAAAATTTCAATAAAAAAAGTCAAAATCTATTAATTTTTCTTCTCTCAAATGTTTCTCAACAAAATATCCCGGTAAAGTTGTATAATTTTCCATTCAACTGACGCAAAAAAACGAATAGAATTTTCAAATAAAATTAAAAAAACATATAAATGAAATTAAAAAATAAAACGCTAGGTTTTTCTATTGAATTTTTTCACACGTATTCTCCTATTCAATAATTGTTAATATTTTCCTCACAATCAATTTTCAGTTTACTTTCCTCCACAAATCGTAGTCAATCCTCCCATGAATTTTTGTCAATTAAATATTGTCCAGGTATCAACAAATCTCAGACAGCCGACATGTACGCACCATCTACGGTCAATGGAGACACAATGACGGGTGAATTAAGTTCGGTATCGGATGAGAAGAGTGACGTTAATTTCGACGCTAATGATTACGTGGTCAGTGCCATCAGTCAGTATGTTCTTAGTAACAAGTAATTACGGAGGGTAGGTTTGAGTTCTATTAACACTTTTATTTTCATCCCTCCTTTTTATTTTCGTTATTCAAACAATGAGAACCTACCTCCAGGGCTTTTAGTTTTAACTTTTCTCTCATTTATTTTCTTCATTTTTTTGTCAAATCCATTCCTTCAATTTGTCTTTCGTTTCACTTTACTAGGGGATAGGGGACTAATTATATGCACGTTTGAATTCCCTATTTGCATCGTCGAGAAATGAAAATTGATAGGGACTCGTTGGATATTCTACTAGTGAATTGGTAAAGAAAAGGCGATTTATAAGTTACAGTGAATGAAATTTGACGAATAATTGGATTAATTCTCGTGTGATTTAGGACGAGGGGAGGAAGACAGCAGCCAGTACATATTTAATAGATCAGAGTATCCAAGAATTTGGTAAAAGTAGCCTTGAAATGCAGGTACATCATCAAGGAACACTTGGTAGACGTAGCAATCACGTGTCCAGTATTCTACCTATGGATTCACCCCCACAACGCACCACAGCCAGTGGTACACTCTCGGGTGCGTCATCCACACCAGCTACTTGCGTCGAGCCCACCAATAGGTGCAAAAACCTCTCAAGTTTATCGCTGTTGATGTCTTCCCACGATCAGACCATTTCGCTGTTCAATGCACGTGCGAAAAAATTTCAGTGAAAAATCTAGTGAATTCGGGAGACAATTCCATTGGGTTTTTTGTGATATTTCATTAACGTTGAGTCCATTCTATTGAATTTTTCTGCGCGTTTTTCGAAACAGAAATGTTCGATTGAAAATATTCTATAGAAAAAGATCAGTAAAATTCGATTTTTCTATAAAAATTCCCCTAATTTTTTTCAATGAAAAGGTGGAAGATCGAGGGGTCAAAAATAGAGAATTCATGTTGTGGAATTCCTATAGAAAATGTTTTAATAGAAAAAGTTGTATAAAAATATGGAATTTTCCTGATTTTCTTTTCTGCAAAATAGATTCTATTGGGCATTTCCTGTAAAAAAAAAATACACGCAGTGAAGCTGTGGAATTCTTCAATAGAATCGACCAAAAACTAACAGAAGTTTCAATAGAAATCCAATAGAATTTTCTATCGCATTATTTTTTGAGTGATTCTATTGAAGTTTTCCAGCTCATCTACAGGTTTTTCTAAAAAAAAACATTCAATAGAAAATTCAATTCAAAATTTTTTAATCGAAAAAATTGAATAAAAATGTAGAATTTTCCCGATTTTTTTTCTACAAAATAGATTCTATTGGGCGTTTCTTATTTTTAAAAACACGCAGTGAAGTTTTGGGATTTTTTAATAGAATCGACGAAAAATCATCAGAAATTTAATAGAAATGCAACAAAATTTTCTATCGAATTCACTGAATTTTTCCATGAAATTTTGTCATGCGTCTTGAGTCATTTGCCAAAATGTTACATCATAGATATTACTGAGATGAATAATTGGTGCATGATGATGATCACGTAGATACTATGTTCATTTCCACGGTCTGGTCAATCATTGAATCATTCTCCTTTTCGATATTTTCATCGATTCCATGAATGAATATCATGTATCAGCTTGTTTGTGATCAGCAGGAAAATAAGTGGAGGCAAATGAGCGTCATACACTTGCGAGGTTTTTGTCATAATTGCATGGTCATTTTTTTTCAGTCAAGTGGAATAGAGGAGTTATCAGTATTCTCGATGTTTTGTACTCCAAACACGAAATTAGCACTCGGTTCCACTTGATGTTATCGTCTCACGTATTTTCATATTTCATAAAATTATGAGGATTCATTAGTTTGGCGACAGCAACAGTCGAGGGGGTAATCACTCGTGATATCTCGTGCACAGAATTTTGTTGAAGTTGGTAATTATATTGGAGGCTTAGGAATTGTTAATTGGATTATTAGTTATGTTGTTAATGAAATTACAATGTTTTTGTGAAGTTTCAACTGAAAAAGTTGTAATCTTTGCTAGAAATCAGGGAAGATTTTCGTTACATTGTCCTCATACTTCATGAAATTCTAGAAATATTATGGAGTTTCCATGAAATCTTTGTAGATCCCGGGAAATTGTTGATCCCGTCAAATTTGACGAAAATTTCGTCAAATCTCAAAATTTGTTGAAAAAGATTTTCCAGATTTCCAGACATTTCAGATTTTTTTTCCATCTACTATTCATGGGACAGATAAATTTACTTGCGATTTTTGTTTCGAAGTTTTTCCGAAGAATTCTGACATCTCTATGTATACATTTCTAAGCATTGTCGTCAATCTTGTTGTAAAATATTTTTCTGAGTTGAAATGTTGGAATTTTGTCGATAATCCCATGATAATTGTTGATAGATTCTTCTTTTATTTAATGAAGTCCTAAAAGTACTATGAAATTTTTACGAAATCTCAGAATAAAACAATACATATATTATCGTGGTAATCACATCTCTTTAGTTTCTTTATTCGTTCAATTTCCCTTACAGATTCTTTGAAATTCTATAAATGAATGAAATGAAATGCTATAAATTGCTGGGAATTGCACAGAAATTCTCTCAAGTTTCAAAAAAATTCTCCAATCTTTAAAACTTTATAATATCCCAAAATCAGATTGTACAGATGATTTTCTAGTGATTCCACCCCTCGACACACGCAAAAAAATATTTCGTAGAAAAACCTAGCGAATTCGTTGGAAAATGTTATTTGATTTCTATTGAGTTCTGCTTTTTGAGAATTGTTCTACAGGAATTCCTCGACATGAATTTTTCAAGTTTATTATTCAATTTTTCTTTTTTTTCATAAAAAAAAATTAAACAAAAAATTTAGAAATTTGAACATATCTCAATAGAATAAGTTATATAGAAAAATCTAATTCTATTAATTTTATCTATAGACCATTTTGCCATCCCAAATTCATATAAAAAACAACAGAAATCGCCGAAAACTAATAGAAAGTTAATTTAATTTTCTATCGAATTCGCCAGGTGTTTCAAAAATGATTTCGTACCTGCAACTCCGAAGAATGAAGCACAAAATAGAGTAAAAAATTAACAATTGAATTATCCGCAGTATCGAAATCGAGTTACATCGGGAATCCCAGTCCGGCACCACCGAGCGACGTAAATTTCTACAGTGTGGAGATGGACAGTGGCCGTTATACCGGATATGAAGCAAATCCAAGCCCTGTACCGGTGATGAACGAACCCGGTCCAGGTGCCTATTATCCGTCCCTAGGAGGTCCAATACATGGAAATCAATTGCACACAATCGGTACTGGTACACTGACGAGGAACAGAACATTGCCAAGACCGGTGCCCCCCCCAGACGTCACTGTTATGACTGCCGGAGCAAAGTCACCAATTCCCCCCTCGGTACCCCCCCCGCCAGCTACATTTGCACGTGCGGGCCCCATCCCCGTACATTCCCACGGGCATCCACTGTCAACTTTTACATCGACACCTAGTTACTCGGATATTGATGGACATCTCGTCTGAAACTCGCTCAATGTCTCGGTTGTGGCTAATCATCAAATGTTGTCACCAGCTACGCCGAGGCTAGATAATAAAGTCAGGTCTGAACGTGTTACTCAACTTTAATTTATTTTATTTTATATTTAGTTGTAGGGATGAAAATATTTGAGGGGAGGCCCCACTGATATTTCGAAATCGCTGGTGGGTCATCTATCGTACTGATGAGTTGAGTCGTTGAGGGTAACGAAGAACAATAAATTCAAAAAGTCAAAAAAAAATTATTTATTATTGATAATTTTTCCCATGAATTCTCACTTTGATGAGTAAGGAATTGATCCGTTACATTCTTTCTTCAATTATTTATTTGAACGATAATCTCTCGTTCAACTAGGGTGTTTTGACATAACATTTTCATATTGGGCATAGAACTTTTTTTTTCTGATTTTGCTAGCTTTAATCTTTTCTCTGACCTCGAAAAGTTTATTTTCTCATAAGACTCTGGGTTATTTTTACGCTTCTAGATTAATTAGTACCAATAATACTAGATTGTCGATTGAGCACAAACTCAATCTGAATGTTTCTATTCATGTTAACTTTCGCTTAGAATTTACTTCAGATTTTAGTCTTCAGAATTCAAGTTATGTTTATAATACTTTAGTGACAATAATGAGAAAAATTGGGCTGGGAATTGTTTTCTCAAAATTGGCTGACGGAAAAAATTTGAAAAATTAGTAATAATCAACTACGTAAATCGTTGATGTAGGATTTTTTTTGAGATTAGTCACCTGTATCAATTTCGAGAAAAAATCCGAAAACCCGAAACATGAGGATTTTCAAGAAGCCTCATAGAAAATTCAAGTCAATCGATAGAAAATTGCGTCACTCGAAGATTCCATCAATGGACAAAATCACAATCTAATTTTTTTTTTTTTACATTAAATCTGAACTAGTTAACTCATCAGCACGATAAACAAAAGCCCCTGCTATTGTAAACCCTCAGTGCAGTCTTCCCTTAATAGAAAAATCTATCGCTCTCCTCAAGAATTCTATTGAATTTCTATTGAAACTCTGTAAGAATTCTGTTAGCGTTCCACTAGAATTCCATTAAAAAATCTATTTATTTTTACGTCATTCTTAACTGAATGTCTCGGTGCATTTGCATAATTTTCTGACAATTCATATTTGATAGAAAAAATTCAACATTTTTATGTTTCTGCACATAAATTTTCCAAGTGTTTCTTTTTGCTGTAATTTTATTTTTCAATTTTTTTCTCAATAAAATCTAATAAAAAAATGAAAAATTCATGCCCAAGAGATCTTGCAGAACTCAAATAGAATTTTTATAGAGTTCCAATAGAAATTCAATACAATTTCTCAGGAAGCGTCAGGTTTTTCTATTAAATTTTTTCATTCGTGGAGGGATTTCGGAATCTGGAGATTCTGTGGCTGTTGCGCTTCATTGCTCTATTAATTGGGGATTTTCATAAACATTTTTCACTCCTAAAATTCTGTAAAATTGGATGAAACATATTACATACGTTTTTTTTTATATTCCATGAATAATGAAAACTTAATGAGTTAAAGTTATTGATGAGATAAATTAATGAGCTGACGTTTATTTTATTCACTGTAATTTGCAGTTGAAAGTTTTTGTCTGAAACTCCCAGTACACCTTTTGGAATTTTTTATCGTATTATTGTTTTACTGAATTTTTTTTTAATCTAAAAATCAATGGAAGCTGCAAATTTCAGGTTAATGTTCTATGGAAATTAGTAGAAATCAGGGAAATTCTGCTAAATATATTCTACTTCTTAAATTTCAATTTTTTTCTGACAATATTCTTGAATTTCCAATTTTTTTAGAATGAAAAATACGCACCTAACTTTCATTCGATTCTGGTATTTCATCATTTCATCCAATTAACAAATTCCATCCAACTAAATGTCTCCATATGGGTTGCATGACTTTAAAGCAAATAAGAAATTAAAAAAATTAGATTTCTTTCCCTGGAAAAAAACCCAGAAATGAAACCTCGCAATTCCAAACTTAAAAAAAAAAAGAATTTTCACAGTCATATTATTTTCTTTAACTCAGTTCTACCCCAGTCCTCCACAAAATGAAAATAAAAAAAGATAGCAGAGCGTCAAACATTGAAGTCTGAACGATTTCGAAATTCCGCCCTCGTCTCGTACTAAATTGATGATTCATTACTTTGATAAGCACTAAAATTTGGTCAATTAACCCAATGTTTGACGGTTCAGCATCATCAGGAGGTCCAGTCCACAATTAAACTGCACAAAAAAATGAACCTCCTGAGAATGCAAGCACCAACTCATTGAAGTAATGATCCCATCAATCACGTCACCAATTGCTTTAATTACCCAGTGATTTACGAAAGAAAAATGGCTTTGCGCTTTCTGAATGAGAAAGGAGCAACGCATAATTCCGTGTACATACTCAATCATAACGAATTTTACACACTAGTAGATCACACCTTTCGTTGAGTACTCAAAGTCATCTACTCCTGCGACATATTTTAGCCCTTACGAGCTATCAAAGTCAATAGGTGTATAAATTCTTTACGAAGGCGTGAAGAAAAAAAAGTATGGGCTCTCCATCAACGAAGGGATTTCAATTGATTGTAATATATTATAGTGGATTTTTTAACGACTCGATCCCCCTGTGTGGTGATAAATATCCTCGGATTACAGATCCATAAAAGAGAATTAGTCTATAAGTTGTAAAATTTTTTTTTTTCGTTCCCATAGAATGAGAAAGAAGTATTGCCCCTGTCCTGTCCACAAAAGCTCGGAAAATAAAATTTTTTGCGCTCTCAGTTAACTGAATATTCACAATACGATATGTTATATTTTTTCAATTTATTTTATAAAGTTTAATCCGTGTAAATAGAAATATACGTAAATTTACTGAATAATTAAACGTTTCTGATTGATATCTCAACCATTCAAATAAATGACAAAAATAACAAGAATATTAAATGATAATACGAAAAAACAAGTAATGACAACGGATCATATGAGGGTCTCACGATAATATTGCATTATAAAATACCGACAAACATGAAAAAAACTGAGAAATATTATGAAGACAATGACTAAACATTTCTTTCCGTAGAGCACAAGAGTGCACAAGCATTTGAGGATTAATTCGCCATTGATTGAGACGTATTTACTATAATTTTGTCATTCCAAAAAAAATGCCTAAGTAGTATATATTTCTGAAAAGTACTAAAACGTGAAAGAGAAAATTATTGAGAGTAAAATTTCCATTTTCGTCTGTCTATTATAAAAAAAATGCAACTGCAGCATGCAATACACATACGTAATGGAAAAACTATTGGACATGATGAGGAAAAAAGCTGAAATGTGATGCAACTACTGCCTAAAATTTATTTTAAAACATGTTTGAAAGTAGAGAAGATAATTTGCCAGACGAGTAAATGTACCATAACGCGAAGGTAAATAGGACATTCAGTATATTCAGTGGCCCGTAACGTCACAAATAACACCAGAAATGTGTGTTCCATGCTCGGTTAGTATTGTCGGAAAGTTTTTAACGTAAAAGAGAGAGAGAGGAAAAAAGAGAAAAAAAATTAAAAGGAATTTATGTAGACTACGCCGAATGTTATTTGATTATTCCAATTATTTGTTGATGAAAAATGAGTAAAAGTGGTTAGTAATTCTACACAAGCTTATTGAGACATGTATTGTTATAATGCTGTTGTGTGTGGAGTCGACATTGGGTCGGCTTAGACTGATGATATTAAAATGATGAAAATGAAAAAAAAAATTAAAAAAAAACATTCACGTATGCTCAATTAGAGAACATGTTCGCGCATAATTAAGAATTCTATTTACATATACATGTTTTATATTTGTAATTGACGGAAAAGGACACTGATTGACTGGAATGAAAATCATCTATATTAGTATTACGTGAACGAGAACAAGAGAGAGAGAGAGAGAGAGAGAGAGAAATGGGTGAGAATAAATGATAACATTCGATAGATTATGTAATCTCCAAAGTATTTGCTCATCAAAGTGCTAGACAAGTTTAAGAAGGGCCGATTATTTCGTCCATAATAGTACCTTGGAGATGGACATATACCATCTGATAATGGCACGATATTTCATATTTTACATAAAGAGATGAAAATGAAAAAAACAAAATAAAATTAACACATTATTCCGTTGATTATTCTAAGGCATAGTCAATCCTAATTATACAATCACTAAAGTATGATGAGTAAATAAGAGGGAAAATGTTACGTGAATAATCGTTTTAATATGTAAATAATTGTAAATAAAATTTAGATAGTTATGAGGAATTGAAAATGATCATGGTTAAAGAAAAACTTAATAACGAATTATATCAATGCTACGAGAGAATTTTCATCAATGATCGGGAGCTTTTTTGTAATGCATGAATGAATGATAATCACGTAAATACTTGTTTTTGTTTGTTCGAAGAAAAAAAATATTCATCGATGGTGGTGGTCCCTTGAAGATGCAGATTAATGAGGCAAAATAGGTATGAGAATGATATTGAAACTAATTATATTGCACCGAAACTCGTTTGAAAGAGAACAAACCAACAATTATAAAGTTATTTAATGTAACTCTCGGTCTTTCAATTTTTCAATTGTATAAAGATATATTCGCGAATTGATTGTCGCTCAAGGAAATTTAATAAATGTTTGAAAGCATTAAAATGTAATTCGTTGATGAATTGGCATGAGCTGAATTGTTTGAATAACGAATCAATTTTTGAAACAAAAAAACAACCAAAAGAAAAAAAAATATTCGCATTTTCTTTGAGAACGTACCAACAACGTGTATTGGTATGCCGCTTCCATTTATGTGCCAATAAGTGAATGTTTTTTGATAAAATAATATTACCAAAATATGGATAATTATCATACTGTTACAACGGAAAAAAATGGTGTCCCAGAAAAAACACAAATTTATGAGATATAAACGAGAAATTCATCTTTAAGTGTTAAGTGTGAAATCGCGATCACTCCAGGAGCAATCATCACTGTTTTCGAGGTACAACGTAAATG